TAGAGGCGGGTGAGACTCGACCCAGTCAGCCCACCTACCCACCCACCTCCTGCGGCCACCGCTCTGCAGTTATGATAAATTATTTCCAATCTTTAATTCTAAAATTCACAAAGTATTTTAATAGGCAAATATACCAAAGACACGTGTAGGAAATGATTGGGTAACTGGCCCTAGATGCTCAGACACTGAGCTGACGTCTTCACTCATCACACTGACTTTACCTAAAAAGAACTTTTGAATCAGCTGGAGTGCCATTTGACTCGTAAGTAGGTGCTACGTCCATGCTAGAGTCTAATGGTAATATTTTTCAAAGTAAAATACAATAACATGTGAATATATTTTCATGTGAAGTTTATCAAAGTCTGTATGCTAATTTTTTTCAGCATCTTAGCCATATCAATGTTGTAAAAAAAACCTAGTCAGGTGTTAAAATTAGAACTTAAAAATCAAGATCAAATTTCAATTTAGACCTTCAAAATCAAGATGAATTTTCAATTTAAACACCTGTAGACCTGGTGTGGCACTGTAGGATGATGGGCTGGACTGCAAAGTCAGTTTGAACCATAAGGTCGGTGGTTCAAATTCACCAGCCGCTCTTTGGAAACACTATACAGGGTCTCTATGAGTTGGAACTGACTCAACGGCACTTAACAACAACAACATACTTATACAAGAAGTCCTGGTGTGGTGCTATAGGATAAGCACTGGACTGCTAACCATGAAGTTGGTGGTTCAAGACCACCAGTCACTCCTGAGGAACCCTGTACAGGGTTGCTTTGAGTTGGAACTAACTTGATGGTACTGGCACTTAACAACAACAATATTTATACAAGGAGCTATGGTGACACAGTGGTTAAGTGCTAGATTGTTAACTGAAAGGTTGGTGGTTTGAACCCACCTAGAGGCTCCATAGGAGAAAAGACCTGGTCATCTGCCCAATACAGATTTCTGCCTAGGTAAATGCTCTGGGGCACGTCTACTCTGTGAGCCATGACAGACTCAGTGACACACAAGAACATAGGCTTGGACATTGGGATCAACCCTATTTTGCCTCCTTCAGAATGTTCTAGTTTTTTGAGGTACAAAGTGTCTAAAAGGTCAGAATTCAAGATTAAGCAAGTACCTGGGAGTAATGAAGAAAAGTGTTACTGAAATGTCTGATTTAAGTTCTAGTAACTTTTAGAAAAACAAGATACTGTTATTTCACTAAGGCTAAATATGGAGTCCTGGTGTGGTGCTGTGAGTTAATGCGCCAGACTGCAAAGCTGTTTGAACTACAAGCTCGGTATTTCAAGCTCACCAGTTGCTCCTTGGAAACCTATGTAGGGTCGCTATGGGTCGGAACCAATTCGACGGCACTTCACAACAACAACAAATATGCACGTAAGTTTTTTTCCCCATTCCCTAAAATGTTAAAAGGCAGTGTGTCTGGAATCCAGAAACCAAGAACATAGAACCAAATTGGTTTAATTCTCTCACTAATAAACTATGGATCAGTGCACTGGAAAGTACATAAGGGATTCTGCAGTATGGTGAGAAGACTTTGGAAAGGCCTCAGTAATTGAGGGAGCAACGAAACTGGAACATCTCTGGGTCCGAACATCGGTGGGCAGGAGTGGTCTCCATAGCAACCAACCTATGTCCCAAAAGCTTCTTTAGCTGGACAGTTCAACAGTAAGTGCCCAGAGAAATCAGTCTGTGGAAACATTCCATTATCTTTTTATCCCATTTTCCCCACAAACTTTTTGTAGTCCATTCATATATCTTTTTCAGTAAGAAACAGTACTCAACACCCAGGTCTACCTACAAAATTCTCTACTCCAGGCTTGTTCTATAAGCATTAGAACGTTACATTACAGAGGACTACCCAATGGCAGAATGGACAAGGTCATTAGAAAGAAAAACTTTCCATTAGTATAGTTCTTAGAAGAAGACGGTCAGCAGCGGGGCCACATTCCCATCAGACACGGATCAAATATCAACAACAGTCACAGAAACTGAAGATACACATCCATCCATGGAGAGCAACTGCATATTCTCTTAATGCCTAGAAGCAAGTAAGTGTGGAAAGTGTGGCTTTATAGTTAAGTTAGTGTAAAGGAAACATTTTCTCTTACTGATCTTAGTGTTCTATTACCAACCCCACCAACCACTCCTAAATAAATGTACACAATTTACACAAATAACACACAAAGTTCAATGCATTAATAACATGGCCTTTTATAATATGCTCTTTCTTTTTACTTACTTTTAATCTTGGGTAACTTTAAATACACAATCTAATAACAGTAAATACACATTCATGTAACAAGAGTCATATCACTATGACTATTCTTTCACTGGCTACATCTTGAAATAACAGCAGTGGACTTCAAAGATGATAGGAAAACAGTTGGGGCACTTGTTCAGTCTTCTTGTAGAACATTTGTCTTTCCTTCTTCTGCAAGGTTTTTCTCAGGAAATATAGGAGGTTCAAAAGAAACAATCAAAACCATGTATCTCTTCTTCTACAATGTCAGCACTCGTGTTGTAAAAGGATGTCATCTCAAGTGCTAGCAGCATCTAAAAGCACAGGGCATAGACCACCAAATGTTTTACAGGCAATTCGTCTAGAACTGAATTCTATATCTCTTGTTTGATCACACTGTATATATGGATAATACTACCAGATATCACATAATCTAAGAAAACCTTGTTGTTGTCAGGTGCCATCGAGTCGGAACCAACTCATAGCGACCCCATGCACAGCAGAATGAAACAATGTCTGATCCTGGGCCAACCTCACTACCACTGCCACACTTGACGCCATCAGTGATGCCACCTGTCCAATCCATCTCGTTAGGGGTCTTCCTCTTTTTCTCTGACCCTCCACCTTATCCAGCATGACATCCTTCTCCAGTGACTGTTTCCTCCAGACAATATGTCCAAAGTATGAGAGACAAAGCTTAGCCATCCTGGCCTCCAAGATCATATTTATAAAAAAACAAGATTTTAAAGATAACCTTGAGGACAATTACCAAACTTATCAAGTATTATTTTATTTAAATAATGACTCATTTTGACAAAACAGATTGTAAGTTTTATGGGACCTGCCTGCAGTTTATTCAAGTTGTAGGAATTAACTCATATTGGTTAATTGGTTCATTAGTAGGAATTCATTCACGTAGCTTGTAGTAAAACACTATGAAGAATAATTTTAGGTCTGGAAATTTTTTACAAATATATGGCTATATGAATGTATTGCAGAGACTTTCCCGAGATCTTGGAAGGAGTCTGTGCAAGTGAGGAATTAGTCCAACCTGAAACGTTAGCTCTGTCCACTTCAGAGTAAAATCACTTTAACTATCACAGGCACACAGAATGTGGTGTGAAGGTTAAAGGTTAATGTGAGATTTGTATTCCCATAATGTTCCACATAGAATTAATGAGCAATTGAACACTGAATGACTGGTCTGAGGTCAAATGGCAAATCATCACTCAAAAGGGCTCATATTTTTCAGTATTATGAAGCTATATTAAAAAAGAAGGCAATCATTTGGTATGGCACTGATCCTACTTTTACCGGGAAAAAGAATGCCAAGCAATCATTTATTCTATCTTGATTTACAAGACCATGGGGCAAATAACTGGTGAGGGAAAAAACGTATACCCTTCTGGAACACCTTGCTAACCTGCATTCACATTACCATATCCAATAAAATGCAAGTGATTAGCTTAAGAGGAAAAGATGTAAACTCTCTTTCTTGTGAAAGGGATTTCATCCAAGAGACAAATGCTACTTTTGGTTTTTAAAATGGCACAACTCTTAACCTATCAGGAGTTCTAATGGAATCAATAACCAGAGAAGGCTTCAGCTAAATAATCTGGTCTTCTGTAAACTATAAAATATCTCCCATGAAAGGTTACACAGCTTTCAGAATGAAAAATCAGACCTACCCAGGTCAGAATCAAAATAATCCTCAGTGCTGGTATTCAACTCGAGGGAAATCTGTTTCCGAAGCATCTGTCAGGGGAGCCCCTGATACCTATGGATTAATAATCAAAGCATCGTTAAGTTCTCACTCCTCTAGCAACTCAATTCTCATGATTCAAATACCAGATGTTTACAATGAACTATTTTTAGCTCAAGTTACTTTCATGGAAGTGAATAAAATAAGGGGACATTCTTCTTTAATTTATTAATTTATCTATTTAGAAAGGGAGAGAGAGAGAGAGACAGTGTGTGTGTGTGTCCTGGTGTGGTGCTGGAAAGAGAGAGAGAGAGAGAGATTTCTGATCTGCTAAAACTACTAAAGTTCATCATCTTTCCAACTTAACAAAAACAAAACAAAATGTGGTGCTAATAGATAGAACAAGCCTGGAGTAGAGAATATTGTAGGTAGACCTGGGTGTTGAGTACTGTTTCTTGTTGAAAAAGGTATATGAAGGGGCTTCAAAAAGTTTGTGGAAAAAAGGATAAAAAGATAATAGAATCATTCCACAGACTGATTTCTCTGGGCCATTAACTTTTGAATTACCCAGCTGAAGAAGCATTTGGGACAGACGTCCATTGCTAGGGGGCCCACACCTGTCCACTGATGTTGGAACCCAGAGATGTTCCTGTCTCATTGTTCCCTCAATTACTGTGGCTTTCCCAAAGTCTTCTCACTATGCTCAGAATCCCTTAACTACGGTCATGCTCACATCTGTTTCCAATGGACTGGTCCACAATATCTTTTCCAATGTACGGGTCCACAGTATATTAGGTGGGAGGATTAAAGCAATTTGGTTCCACGTTCTTGGTTTCTGGAACCCAAACCACATTCTGCATTTATCATTTTAGTGAATGGTTGTGAAGGGGGAAAGAACTTGTGTGGATTTTTAGCCATAAACAATTAGCAGTTGTTTTTTTCCTAAAAGCCAGTGACTAGAACTTAGCTCAGACATTTAGCTAACACTTTAAAATGGTAGGTTTCCCATTTTGTTTGTTTGCCCTTCTGTGGCTTTGCCCAAAGGACAATCTAGTCACAGAACGGCGACGAAGTACAAAGGGCAAAAACTGTAACAGACACTACATCTTTCCAGTCACAGGAACCAAGAAAAAGGGGTTCCTGCAAGGTAAAAAGTGGAATCCTGGAGGAAAGAGAACAGCAAAGGGAGTTCTCTAATTCTGTGTATGTCTTTGTTGTTAAGTGCTGTTGAGTTGGTGCTGACTCACAGTGACCCTATATGAGGTGTCCAAGAAGCAGCTGGCGGATTTGAACTGCCCACCTGGCAGTTAGCAGTCCAGTGCTGATCCTGCAAAGCCAAATCTTAATTTAAATACTGAACTATGTATACATAGGACAGATCAAAATCATCACAGCAAAGGCTTAGAGAACTAACTTTTGAACCACCTCTCAAAGACAGTAAGATACAATTCACAGTGTGACTGCCTGCTTGAAAAAAAAAAAAGGATCAACATTATCCAGAGGATTATAACACAACACAGAGTCTACACAATAAACCATTCACAATGTCCAGGATATGATGCAAAGTTTCTGGATATAAAAAGATTCAGGAAAGTAAGACCAATTCTCACAGGAAAAGATAATCAACAGATATCAACCCCACAAAAGTCTAGACACTAGAATAGCCATATAAAGTTATTTAAAGCTACATGAAATAAAGAGAAATATACTTGAAATGAATGAAGGAACATGAATTCTTAGCAGAGAAATAGAAACTATTTTTTAAACAATTAAATTTAGAGATAAAAAACACAGTACCTGAAATTTAGAAGAAAGCTATGCTTAATCACAGTACCTGAAATTTGGAAGAAAGCTAGGCTTAATCACAGGACCTGAAATTTAGAAGAAAGCTAGGCTTAATCACAGTACCTGAAATTTGGAAGAAAGCTAGGCTTAATCACAGAATGGAGATGATTAAATTAAAGAGTCAGAGAACTTGACAAAAATCATCAATAAATTTTACTCACTCTGAATAAGAGTTAAAAATAAAGTTTGAAAAATGTGAAGAGCACTTTAGAGCCCTATAGGAAAATATTAGCGTAGTGGTTACGAATCGGGCTGCGAACCTTAAGGTCAGTGGTTCGAAACTACCAGCTGCTCCGCGGGAGAAAGATGAGGCTTTCTACTCC